TCCTGTATTTGTGAGTCTAAAGTTTTATATCTAATTTATCTTTTATCATAACCAAGGAAAATTGTAATTATAACTATCTAGTCTTCAACTACATCAAAGATCCAGAAGGATATAATATTACCTAAGCAAACAGGAAATGCATTGTAAACAACTTCCAAAATTCTGGAAATGACAGAGACAGCTGGCAGCCTGGACAGTCATCCAAAGTTCCTCTGTAACTTTGGGGCATCCATCTTCAGTCTATACGTCTAGAGTCTCTCAGTCACTTCTCTTTGTGTCCTGTAGAATGTCTGGCAGTTTCTTTTGTGAAGCAGGAACCTGAAGGACCATCTCGCCTTGCAAAGTTTAGTGGTCACGTTTCTATGGGTCCTGCATGTCCAGTCGATACAACATTTTGTCAAGTATTCCAGGCAAGAACAGTTTCTTGCCCAAATGGCTATTTTTGCCAAGAAGAAGATAAACTCCATATAGAGTGTCTTCAATGCCCATTTTTCTCTTTGAAGTAAATCAGTGTTGCCAGGAGCAGACGTGTCTCACTGTCCAGAAAGTCTAAATTTTTAAAACATTTTAAATGCCATATTCTATAGGTCTTTGAAGTGTTAGAAGATTACCTACCTAACTGAATTATATCTATGTATACCTAGAAAACTTAACATGACTATAAGTTTGACTATCATAGAAGACTAATTATTAATCTGTATTTCTTAATTATCCATTACAATTTAAATGAGTTACATAAACATAATACCTTAAACAAGAGTAGAAATATATATATATATAGTATAACAAAATCAACTCTAAATTTGTATCTAAATAAACTAAAATCCATAGCAATGTAAACATCTTTAAATAAGTTGTTGCTCTTTAAAAGTAGGTTTATTAATCTACCCTTTCATCCTATATCTATACTATCCCCTTCTTTTCTTTAGAAAGATATTATACTTAAAATCAACCTGCTTTAAATAAAAATAAACATTGATAAACAATATTTTAGGAATTTGGGCATTGCTTTTCATACTACTTCCTGCTGGTTGAGGGCACTGGCAATCTTACAGGGATCTTGAGAAAATTAAGAACTATGGTCAAGTCCTGACTGGAATAGTCTGTGAGGCTGCATTGTCTGAGCCAGTTGCCTTGAAGCTGTTCTGGATATTGGATCATCTGGGCTATGGTGTCAACAGAGACCTTTCAGGGGATCTTGGTTGATCAAACCATATTAGCCTAGAAGCAATCTACAGGTTCTCATCTTCTGTGGAAACAAAAACAGAACCTCTTTTCCAAAGCAACGTATCCTTAGACATAAATTTTGAAATTAAGATATCTTTAAAATATACATATTGATTTAACTCAGCAGCTTTTACAATCAAATGTCTTTCCAAAGTTAAAAATCCCAAAGACAACACAATCCAGATTCTCTGTATAATATCCATGTTTACATGACTTATTTTTTATATTACCTTTACTATCTCTTTAAAGACTTTATTAAAAAATCTTTAAAGCTTTATTAAAGTCTTTAAAACTATTTCTTTATATAACTATCCATATTCATTTTTGTCTCCCAAGCCTACGTACATTTTTACACACATTGTAAACCATTTAAAGTCTTATTCCATCTGAATCTGCCTTATTGTGAATCTATTGCTTTAAACTGCAGTGGCTAGTACTGAAGCAGAAGCCTTGGCTGCTGACTCCACCCACTTCAGCTTCCCAATATGGCAGTGGTACATTTACCGCCAGCTCTGGGAGCCAGACACATCACCAACTCTTGGAAGGAGTGGGTCTATGCCTCCATCAAAGCAGCATGTACCCCAGAAACCTTTTTTTTTCCCCTTTGGTCTTTACTAGCAAAAGCTAAATCTGCCATGCAGTGCATTGCACAGCTTGGAGATACCTCTGTGTAACTCAGGGGAATCCACCACACTGTAGCTCTAGTCTGCACACTGCGAACCCGCAACAGCTAGGGGACATGTCATTGTACTTCAGCCCGCCATGAGGACATGAACTAAGAAGGTGCTCTTAGCTACATTTATAATCTCTTCTTAAACTCTCTCAGGTTTTAGGTGAAAACTCTTGCCACCACGTCTGGGCACCATTTGTAGTTGGAAGTTTTCCTGTGTTCTGGCTGGCCAGCAGTCAGGACAAATCTCTCCCACTCGTGTCCCCCAAGTAAACACACAGAAGCTTATAATAATTGTAACTGCTTGGCCATTAGCTCAGGCTTGTTACTGACTAGCTCTTACACTTAAATTAACTCATAATTCTTATATATGTTTAACCATGGGGCTTGGTACCTTTTCTCAGTTCTGTCTTGTCATCTTGCTTCCTCTGTGTCTGGCTGGCAACTCCTGACTCAGTCCTTCCTCTTCCCAGAAGTCTCCTTGTCTGCTTACTCTGCCTATACTTCCTGCTTGGCTACTGGCCAATCAGCTTTTTATTTATCAGCCAATCAGAGCAACACATATTCACAGCATCCAGAACAACATCTCACAGCAGATAGGAGCTCAGTCTTTTCTGTTGAGGAGTTTGGTGAGGTGAGATGTGGCTATAGCTTATCCCTTTGTCTCTCTGATCTTTCAGCATTTACCCCAATATCTGGCTCTGGGTTTTTATTAAGACCAATTAGGATTCGTGTTAACTATTTGTGTGTGTATGCACATGTGCATACAGGTGCCTTTAGAGGCCAGAAGAAGAGGAGGTCAGATCTGCTAGAGCTGGAGTTATGGGCATGTCTTTGTTAAGGCTTCTATTGCTGTGAAGAGTCACCATGACCATGGTGACTCATAAAATAAGCATTTAATTGAGGGTGGCTCAAAAAACTTGCAGTTTCAGAGGTTCAGTCCATTATCATCATGAAGGGGAGCATGGTGGAGTACAGGTAGACATGGTGCTGGAGCTGAGGGTACTAGAACTTGCAGGCAGGTAACAGCAGTTGACTGACTGTCACACTGAGGGAAGCTTGAGCAAAAGAGACCTCAAAGCCTGCCTCCACAGTGACACACTTCCTCCAACAAGGCCACACCTCCTAATAGTGCCACTCCCTTTGGGGGACATTTTCTTTCAAACCATGACAGGAGGTTGTGAGCCATCTCACAAGGACACTAAGCACCAAATAGGTCTTTTACAAGAGCAGCAAGTGCTCTTAACTGCTGAACTTTCTCTGGAGCCTCTGAATCTTACATTTTCACTGAAAATATATCAACAATAACTCCATATAATGTACAGAAATCTTTCTCGGTAACTGGTACAAGTGCATGGTTAAGAGAGATTTTATTAAAGTAAAAATTCAGAGTGTAGAACCTATCAGCTAGAGTCTTTTAAAGGTTCACACTTAACAATAAAAGCTGAACTTCTGGACTTTGTTCTCAAAGCCTTGTCTAATTTTCACTGTGTGTCATTGGACGTGGTCCTGAGCTCCATAGGCCATTTTCATACAAGTACATGCTGTACATTAAGCACATCCCCAGACTCTACCAACTTCCTCTTCTTTGCCCTAGACAGTTCCATTAGTCCTCTAGACAGTTCCCTTTATGCTTTCATGTCTACAGGCATATGGGACTTTACATGTCTATATAAATCAAGGATCAACAATGAGAGAAAAATGTGATATTCGTCTTTCTGAGATTGACTTAGCTCAACCTATGGGTCACAACTCTCAACCTGGGGGTCAAACACCCTTTCATGGGGGTCACCTAAGACCATCGGAAATGTCAGATATTTACATTACAGTTCATAACAGGTCACCTAAGACCATTGAAAATGTCAGATATTTACATTCTGATGTTACAGTTCATAACAGTAGCAAAATTACAGTTATGAAGTGGCAATGAAAATAATTTGATGGTTGGGGGGTCACAACGACACAAATTGTATTAAAGAAAGATTGAGAGCCAATGCTCTATAGGATAACCAATGCCCTCTTTGCATTGCATCCCACACTGTCTTGTGCACATTAGGTACACAGTGATTATCTACTTCAATCCAGCAATGAGACTGTGGAACAGGGAAGGGAGTCGTAAACTAAAAAGGGGAAGAAGGGCTGGTGGAGATGAGAATAAGAGTCTTCCCTTCTCCTTTCGTGGAAAAGCCTCTGTATCCAAACACCCTGTATTTCAAAGTAGTTGAGAAAGCAACACCATTGGAACAGAGCATTGCACATTAATATACACACTGGTCAACTTCCAGGGAAGACCATAAAACATCCCCCTGCCTTATAAATTGGTTGAACCAGAGGGGCTATTCCTGATATTTTATGGGATTTTGGTTTGTATTTTTCTTTCCCCATTGTGCTGGTTAGTTTTGGCTGTCGACTTGAGTTGACAATCTCGAACAGGTTGGCCTGTGGTTTATCTTGATTGTTACTTAATGTGGGAAGACCCAGCTTATTGTGACACTGGCGTCCAACATGGTGGCAAAAGTTTCCACCTAAAAACTGACAAAAGATTCTAAAATGGAGCTAAAAACAGCTTCCTAATTGTCTCTCTCAAATGAACGACAGCCTGCGGTTTGAGCTACTGGCCAGTTCCTAGCGTGCGCGCTCGACCGCGCTTGACCTGCCGTATGGCGGGAATGAGGCCTCTGCAAGTGGCACATTAAGCTACATGGTGGATTTAGACTTTGCTAGTATAAAAAAAAAAAAAAAAAAAAGAGGTTTCTGGGCTACACGCTGCTTGGATAAAAGCATAGACCCACGATAGCTCCCAGAGCTGGCGGAAAACGTACTACCGCCATGTTGGGACGCTGAGGCGGGTGGAGCCAGCAGCCACAGCTGCTGCAGTTTAAGGCAATAGATTCACAATAAGACAGATTCAGATGTAATAGTTTACAATATGTGTAAAAGATACGTAGGCTTAAAAAAGACAAAAAAAGATGATATATAGAATTATAAAAACAAATACATAGTTTTAAAAAATAAAGTCTTTAAAGAAACAATAAAGGTAATATAAAAAATAAGCCACGTAAAAATGGATATTACACAGAGAATCTGGATTATGTTGTCTTTGGGATTTTTAACTACAGAAAAACATTTGATCATAAAACATGTTGAGTTAAACCAATATGTATATTTTAAAGATACCATGACTTCAAAATTTGGATATAAGGATATGTTGCTTTGGAAAGGAGATTCTGCTTTTGTTCCCACAGAAAGCCAGAGGCTATGGATTTGTTCCAGATTAAGATACATCAGGTTTGACCAGCCAAGACCCCCTGAAAGGTGACACCAAGGCCCAGATGATCCAACATCCAAAATGGTTTCAAGACAACTGGCTCAGATGATACAGCCTCACGGACTACTCCATGATCCTAAAATTTTCTTTGTTTCCCCAGAAGATACAGCGCCCCCCTCCAACAGGAAATAGTAAGAGAAGCTACGCCCAAATTCCCAAATATACCAAGCTGACTTTAGAGATGTGTAAAGGTTAAAACCTTCCTTTTTAAGAAAAGAAAAGGGGAAATGCTGTGGGATGGTCTGTATGTCAAATGTGTTGCTGATTGGTCAATGAATAAATCACTGATTGGTCAGTGGCCAGGCAGGAAATATAGGCGGGACTAATAGAGGAAAATTGAGAGAACAGGAAGCTGGGTGAGAGAGACACTGCCAGCCGCCATCAGGACAAGAAAGATGTAAAGTACCGGTAAGCCACAAGCCACGTGGCAAGGTATAGATTAATAGAAATGGATTAATTTAAGCTGTAAGAACAGTTAGCAAGAAGCCTGCCACGGCCATACAGTTTGTAACCAATATAAGTCTCTATGTTTATTTGGTTGGGTCTGAATGGCTGTGGGATTGGCGGGTGTCAGAGATTTGTCCTGACTGTGGGCCAGGCAGGAAAACTCTAGCTACATGACACCTTTCCCTAGGTGTGGCAGCAGCCCTGAAGAGTATGAGCAAGGAGAGAGCTCGCTTAGAGCAAGGAAAAGTGCATTTGTGCTCTGCTTGCTCTTGACTGCAGATGTGATGTGACTGGCTTCTCGAGTTCCTGTCTTCTTGAGTTCCTGGCTTCTCGAGTTCCTGTCTTGACTTCTGCAAAACAGTGGACTGTGTCTTGTCATTGTAAGCCAGACAAACCCTTTCCTCTCCAAAGTGGTTCTGAGTCAGGGTATTTTATCACAGCAACAGAAATGAAACTAGAACACACATCTTCCATGAATTTTCCAAATACTTCTTGCTTTTTCTTTGGTCAGATCCCAATGTTGGCCTTTCTTGTCTTCTGTCCCCCGCCACCTAAAGCCCCAGCCAGAAGCCAGTGGGCTGAGAAGGTCTTAAACTGCGTGTCTAATTCAGTCCTGTCCTGTGTGGTGCAGAAATAAAACAGAACTGGGGTTAAATTGGCTTCTGAAGTATGAGCTCCATGTAGTCATGAGGAGGACAGGGACAGTAGTACCAGCTCCCACAGAGGGTTATTGAATGGATTAAATAGGATTCTGCTGGCAACCTGCCTGGTTCACAGTAGACACTTGGCAAATGACACTCATTGGGGAACTATGAGAAGCATGGAAGAGATTAATAAGGCCTAATCCAGCTTTCCCTTCCAGCCCCTCCCCACCCCCAGCTTACAATGAGAGGTAGAGAAGAGACATGTGATGTGAGCAAAACAACACTATGATTTCAACCATTTTTAACTTCGTTCTGTGGTCCTTGGGATTTAGCCTAGGCCCTCACACACACTGGGAAAGCACTGTGCCACTGAGCTACATATCCCTGCTCTGCAATTTAAGTCTTAAATCTAGCTTAACTGCTGTCTTAATTAGGGTTTCTATTGCTGGGAAGAGACACCACGACCATGGCAACTCTTACAAAGGAAAACATTTAATTGGGGCTGGCTTAGATTTTCATTATCATCATGGCAGGGAGCATGGCAGCATGCAAGCAGACGTGCTGCTGGCTACGTCTTGACATGCAGGGAATAGGAAATGGTCCAAGACACTGGGTAGTATGTTGAGAATATATGAGATTTCAAAGCGCACCTCCACCATGATATACTTCTTCCAACAAGGCCACACTTACTCCACAAGAACACACCTCCGAATAATATGACACCCTTTGGGGGCCATTTTCTTTCAAACCACCACAACTACCAAGTTAAAATCAAGGGCAATGTGGAGCTTGCTTCCTCGGCCATGTAATCCCAGCACTAGAAGGGTGGAGACAGCTCAAGACTAGCCTGGACTCTATAGCTAGACCCTGTTTAAAAAAAAAAAATTCAAGGACTCAGGGACATAATAGTTTTTATTGAAGATACCCAATTTTATAATTTATTATAGTAAAGTTATCTAAGCAATAACACTGAATTTGGGGGGGGAAAGAAACCTCCAAGAGAAAGTGTTCTGAGAAAATAACTCAACTGAAGCTGACCCGTTCAGATTACTCACCCACTTTCCAAAAGAAGCGGAAAGCTGGTAATGTCATCTCTCCCCTAGTCCCAGTGACAATGGAGTTCCAGGGTCCCAGAAGATAACAAAAGTTCTTGTTTCTCTCAAACAATAAGTAAACAAACTCCCCAAACTTGAGGGACTTCTGTGGAAGAAGGGATAAGAAGAATTTTACCTAATTAATCAAATTTCCAGATATCTTCTATCTATTCGACATAAAATATAGAAACAGAAATGCCTGGATATCCCTCCTAGTGATAAGGAGATTTAACTCACTGGAAAGTGTCTTCACAGCAAGCAAAGCCCTTTCAGAGGATCAGCTACATGCATGGGTGCTGCATGTGGAATCATTCTCTGATTTGGGGTGGGTGGGGGGCTCAAACGGGTGAACTCTTATTTTACCACAAACTTGCTTCACTTTTTTGCCGCTCTTCAGCCCTGATCATATCTAATTCCGATGTTAGTAAATTTCACTTTAAGTCATAAAGAGAACACATTCCAGTTACCGCTAGAGATATTTCATCAGCCTTCCTGTTAGTGTGAGTCATGGCAGAGAATCCAGTGCTTGCAAGAAGAAACCACAATCCACTAATGAGCACCCTATATCTCTGTGCCCAGCACGATCAGCAGCAGTACATTTCATTACAAATTCTTCTTTTAGTGCCTTCTATGTCCCTGCACTGCCCTGGTTTTATGGGTAGTTTAAAAAAAAAAAGTAAGTACAGGATGTAATGACTGACCCTGAAGTGTTTAACACGTTTTCTTTATAAAGAAATCAGCATTCTTTTGATAAGACTTCTGATGGTGAGACTTTAGGGGGTGAGGGAAAACAATCCAAAATAGCTCAGCTTTCATTTGCCTTTAGAACAAAGATAAATGACATTAGCATTAATAGTCAAGTTTCATCAGCTATAAGCCTGCCTCTTAATTTGCTTGACCACAGGCAATCTAGTCTCTCAGAACCCTCTCCTTCAAAGCTGTTTCCTGGAGCCTTCAAAAGTGCCTATGAATACCCATTAAAGGAGCCACAGATGTGAGATTCTGGACCCACTTGGTTCAGCCTCAAAATGTGAAGTATTTAGAACAGATAGTCTTTTCATTTGCAGCTTTATTAAGCACTAACAGTACCTCCAGGGGTCACACCATTCTGTTGGTAATGAATATTCATCCATCCCACAATGACTTTGAAACACGAGATGTGTTGTTTGGTCCAGATCCAAGCCTCTTGTTCTAGGGGCTCCCTGGCCTCCTTGCAAATCAGTGCCTGACTGTAAATAGTCACACAGAGGCTTAATACTGCTTATAAATGCTTGGCCTATTGCTCAGGCTTATTACTAGCTAGCTCTTGCATTTAAATTAACCCATTTCTATTAATCTAAGTATTTCCACATGGCTGTGGCATTACCAGTCTGCTGGCATGTTGTTCCTTGGGTGGCTGGATGGAGTCTCCCAGACTCTAACTCTGCCCTTCTTCTCCTGTCTCTCTGTTTGGATTTCCCACCTGGCTCTATCCTGCCTTGCCATAGGCCAAAGCAGTTTTATTTATCAACCAATGAGAGCAACACATATTCACAATGCACAGGACATCACACATCACCTGACTGTCTCATCAGACTTGTTAAATGATGGATAAATATTATGGTGTGGGGGGAGGGGCATTCTTGAACAAACTAGTAATTTATCTTGTCAGTTTCCCAATCAAGGGTGATATATATGATAAGTAATCTCCTTAATGTGACTTCACAAAAAAATTCATATTGTCTACAAAAATAAATAAATGTATTACATGCAACTTTTGTTTGTTTGTTTTTAGAGACAGGGTTTCTCTGTGTAGCAGAGCCCTGGCTATCCTGGAACTTGCTTTGTAGACCAGGCTTGCTGTGATCTCACAGAGATCTGCCTGCCTCTGCCTTGGGAGTGAGGATTAAAGGTATGTCCCACTACTTTTTATAGGTCAAAAAGCTTATAATATTTGATGTCAGATTATTGTGTGCCTAGAGCTAGAAGTAAGCAGCAGTAGAGTGGAAATGATCTCCTTGAGGGATCTTAGCATCTCTGTGTAGCAATTTGGTCACAATTCAGTTTCCAAAGTGATGATACCTGAGAAGGTGGAATGTAAGACCTTAATGTTTCTTGAGCAGTTTCACTGTGCCAAGCATTTTGCTGTGGAGTTCACATGCCTGTCTCCCATGATCCCATTGGGCTTTACTCTAGGTAGTATCATGACATCCACCCTGGAGACAGGAAATCTGAGATTAAGGAAGTGTGCCAAGACCTTTAGCCATAAGGTGCTACTATATAAGCATCAGGCTCCAGGCTTCCTGCCTCCTTGTGGGCATCAGTCTGGAGCTTGGATTTTGCCACGTTTGATAACTTCTGTTCCTGGAAGATCATTTATGCATTCCCCCTTCTAAAACAGGGGTGTGCAACCTACTTCTCAGGAAATGGGGAGGAGTTTCTGACATAACCATTGCAAGGCCCCGGAAGCAATCCTATCATTCTGCAGAATCCAGTTCTGGGATGTGGATAGTGTGAAGAGGGCCAGCATTGTCACCAGGTGTGGTGACCATGTGGTTTAGGACATAAAAAGAATGGAACACTGCAATGGTATCACTGACTCCTGAAAAAGGAAGTTTCTACCTAGTGGATTTAGTTAAATTCCTACACAAGCCATATTTTTAAACCTTTGTTTAAAATTACCCAAGGTGAGAAACAAGAATGGTTCATTTTCTCTTATTCATTCATTCATTCTTTGTTGTTGTTGCCGTTTGGTTTTGTTTTTATGAGACAGGTTTTCTCTGTGTAGCTTTGGAGCCTGTCCTGGAACTCGCTTTGTAGACCAGGCTGGCCTTGAACTCACAGAGATCCACCTACTTCTGCCTCTCAAGTGCTGGGATTAAAGGTGTGTACCATCACTGCCTGGCCTGTTTTTCATTCTTTTGCATTAAATTTGTCTCAGCAACCAAAACTGTTTTTTTGTTTTTTTACATAGTAGCTCTTATCTTATCATACCACAATCTCTCAGAATATGTTTAACTCTGATTCTTGGAGATAATCATCTGTCTTTTAATATTTCGCAAAAGCAGTTTTGCTCAACATGATTCCATGAACAAGAACTCAATCTGAAAAGAAATCTGTCTAAGTTCTAATCTCATGACCATCTCTGCCTGTCCTAATTCCTCAGTATTTGGGCAAAATCCTCAGAAAACACTTGATTTACATAATCCTCAGGTGCTACCACTCAGCAGTTACACCCTTGTTGACTCCAATATGAAGTTTTCTTTGAAGAACATAATGGAATCTAGTTTCTAAAGTAAATTGCTACATCCACCTCTTTGCTTATCCATCTCTTCATGTTGATTTGAGGGAAAACTTTTTTTTTTTTTTTTTGAGATGGTACCTGAGATGCCAAAAGTACAGGGGCTGTGAGAGTCAGTGGGTAGGGTACCAATAGCTTTCATTAATAACACTACAGTGAAATGATAAAACATCAGTGCACTCTACAAGGATCCGTCCCTGATAGAAAGAAAAGAGAGGAGGTCTTGGGTAGAAAGATAAAATCAAATCTGATTGATTTTCTAAAAGCAGCAGTTGGAAATCAAAAACTCATGTCTAAATTCACCAGAATCCTTGGGAAGTCTGCCATACAGACACATCCCATAAGTAAATACTTGGTAGATATTTCAGCTCGGTGGGTCTGGGGTAAGGCTTTCACATCCGCACGTCCTTGAACGTTCATTTTAATGATGGGTAGCAAACATAAAGGAAAAGTGCAAACGCATAGTGAAACAGCATCAAGACTCTCCACAGGTGACACACACAGGAAACTGATCAGACCAAGATAGGGCAAAGCATCCAGAAAGCCTTCTCGTTTTTAAATCCAAATGCTGCCCTCTTCCCCAGGTGCCAACATCGTGGGTGCCAATGGCCTAACCTGGGGTTTGTGTTTGTGAAATTACATATTAATAGAATTACACAATTTCTACTTTTCTGTTTCTGCTTTCTTTGCTCACTATGTGTGTGTTAAGTCTATTTTGCCATTACATCGGTGGCTTATTCATTCCTGTCGCTAAGCCGGTGATAAACACTTAGGTTATATACAGCTAGGGTGGTTTTTTTCTTGATGTTGAATCTGATGCCACTGAACTAAAGTGATTTGAACGTAGTTGCCATGTTACCTTTCTTCCTACTGCTCCCACACATCAAACAGTGTCTTACACAGGTAGGAGATCGACAGATATCTGCTGGATTGGGTCCAGATTAAACTTTCTACCTATATTAGCGGATGAAGGAGAGTGAAACTGTCACTGTATTTTCCATTACCTTGCAATAGTACAGAATGGTACCTCAAACAAGATGACAAAAAGGGAAACATTGGCTCATCCCTCATCCCAAACAGTCATCTCTTCTCACTTCACAGAGACCACTCCCCAGATATCCTCAGGTCTGTCCAGGAAAAAAAATCTCTTAGGTCACAGCTAGCATAACTAACTACAGACACACTTGGTCAATTTAACAAGCATTTACTGAGGAGCCTGTTGAGTTTGAATACTATTGTAATGGTTACAACAAGTTCCAAAAAAACAAAAACAAAAACAAAAACAAAAAAACAACTAGATGATAAGTTGAGTTTGAATACTATGTTAATGATTACAACAAGTTCCAAAAGAAAACTAGGTGATACTATTTTAATAACTACAATAATTACAGCCCGTTCCAAAAGAAAACTAGGCAATAAGTGGAGTTTGAATACTATTTTAATAATTACAACCAGTTCCAAAAGAAAACTAGGCAATAACCTTCAGAGCCGTAACCTTCAGAGTACACTGTTTCAGCACATCTGCTCAGTAACTCCAGACAGAACCCCCCACTCTTTGCCTCAGTGGAGGAGACAGATTCCTCAGGGATAAATTCATGTTGGTCCAAATTCACAAGTTCCAATACTCAGAGTTGATGATAACAATGTTTCTGATCCTCCTGCCTCTCCCTCCTGAGCAATTACAGGCACAGGTCACCATGCCCAGTTTCACTCTGTGCTGGGGATCTGGGAATGGAACCCAGGGATTTGCTGTGGGATGGTCTGTATGTCAAATGTGTTGCTCTGATTGGTCAATAAATAAAACACTGATTGGCCAGTAGCCAGAC